TAAAAAAAATTGTTGGTTTAGTGAATGTTTTTCTGTCAAAAGATAAGATAATAATATTTTATCTTATATTGCTAGATAGTATGTTCTGATTAATCAACAAATTAATATTTTCTTTTGATATTGAGATTATAGACATATCGATTTTTAAATCAATTTTTTCTTTATCAAAAGATACATCTCTAAAAATAATTATCTTATATTTGAGAAGGTCATAATATTGATATATATTTCTATTTTTATTATATCCAATAAATTAGATAGATAAAGCTTTTGAATCTAATTTATTCCTATATATTAAAAGAATATAGCAATAGGCTACACATCCAAATACACATAAGTATAAAAGATTTGGCTTATGTCCAGAGAAAGCTTCTTTTGGTGTCATCCAATGTAAGGCTTTTTTTGGATATTTATTTTGAATATTTAAGTATTTTTGTTCTACTAATGATACTTCTAATCCCTTCTAAGATTGATCTTTTTTTTTTCTTTCTGCTAAACCATTCTATTGGAAATAATAAGTCATTTTGAAATCTCTTTTAATTCCTTCTTGTCTATAAAAACTTAAAAATTCATTTAATAGATATCTTCCTCTGCAATTTATTCTCAAACATTTGATCTTTCTATTTGGATTTTCTATTAATTTCTTAAATTCTTTGAACTTATCAATTATTTATAATTTTTCTTATAAAAAGCATAATCAAGTCTTTTGTATGTAGTCATCAATAAAAGTCAAAATATATTTTTTTTCTTTATTGAAAAAATTGGTAATGAGCCACATAAGTCAAAATGAATAATTTCTAATAGTTTAGTTATGAATTAACTTTTTTTTTTAAGAATATGTTTTTTGTGTAATTTCCTATAGACATAGTTTATACAAATTTCTTTCCATAAAAACATTTGTAGTAATCTACTAACTTACCTTTGATTTGACAATTAATATAATGATTAGAAGTTGAAGTGAAAAATCTTCTTATGCCATAGACAAATTTTATCTTTAGAAACTTGAAATATTTTTGATATATTTATATCATTTGGTTGTATGTTGATGTTTATGATGTTTTCTTCTATTGATAATGAAGTAGCCAATATTAAATTATTATCTTTTTCTTTTATATGGTAAAGATTTTTTTTACTTAATTTTCTTGTATATAAATACTTTTAGAATTATCTTTGTCAAATATGCAATATGATGTAGAATTGAATAATATTGCATTTCCAAATCATCAAATTTTTAAACAAATAAGAAGTTTTTTTTTATACTAGAAACATAAAGAATATTTTTTATTTCTTTTATTTTTTTAAAATAATTTTCAATAGATATACTTTCTTGTCTAATTATAAGAAAATTTTGTCCTCTAATTCTTTTAATATTAGAAATATTTGATTCTTTGATTTTTGTAAATAATTATTTGTTTTTAATTACATGAAAATTGGCTTCAAAATCCAAGAATTATATATTATCAAAGTCAAATGCATTAAAACATGCATTCTTAGTAGCTTTCATTGATGGATGCATTAGATCTTTTTCTTCATCATCTTCAATAATATTGATATAATTGGTCTTCTTTAGTCTATATAGTTGTAGTTGTAGTTGTAGTTTTTCTATTTGGCTTTTCAACATCTTTACATCACATTCTCATGCAACATGACCAAATTTGCCACATTTGTCGCAAAGGATGGTATGTTTTGATCCACGTTCTCAATTTTTTGTATTGATGTTTCTTGCAAATAGATAAAGATTATATTCTCTTCTTTGACGATGATGTCTAAAAAAATAACTTTTAAAATTTTGATTATAACTTTTCCTTTTGGCTATTATGTCATGAAAAAATCTTTTTGTGTATAATACCTCTTCTTTATTATTTCTACTTTTCTTAAGTTGATGGCTGACTTTTTCTTGTAAAAGTAATCTTTTTAATTTAAAAAAGATAGATAATGTAAGTTTTTTTTTTTGAATTTGCTTAAAAGTCAATCAATTTCTTGATAGACCATTTAAGGTTAGAACAACAATGTCTTTAACACAAACAAAAATTCTTATTTTGCCTAAGAAGATATAGTTTTGGAAGTTTAACTGCACACAACTTTAGCATTCAATTGAAGATAATGTAAATAAGAGATCTAAAGCAATTATTGGTCCTTGTAAATATAGATTGTTAAATATGTTAACTTCTTTTCTTTTAAAACAAATAACTTGATACAAATGACCTTTGATTATAGCCAAGATGATGTAAGCAAGTTCCTTCTATCATGTACAATGTAAAGAATTATCCAACATGATCCATTCAAGGTATACTACTTTATTTCTTCCAATACATATTAAACATTGTGAGATGTGTGAATCTACTAACACTATTGTTGCCACTTTAATATTAATCTAAAAATAAACCAACTAATCAAAATCTATACATTAAATTAATTATATTTTATTAAGATGTATAATTAATATTTAAAAGATTTTTTATTGATATATTATTTAATTAATATTCTTTAATATAATTCTATTATTAAATTAAATAGTAGAACTATTAAAAACATATAATGTGACTAAAATAACTAAGCTTATACAATCCTTTATAATCTTTTAGAGGTCTTTGTAGAAGGTTTTTAGACTTTAAGAACATCTGATTAATCTCATATATCTTCTCTAAAAAGATTTTATTGAACCTAATTGACATAGTGTAAATTAAAAAGAAAGAAATAAGACAACTTACTCTTACTAAGATAAGTTTCAGAAGAACCTAAATATTATATAGTTTTAAGTCTTGTATTTAATCTTCCTTTTAACTTAGAATTTTTTATTTCTTCTATTTCTTAATATCTTGTCTTTATACCTTTAATATGTTCTTATTGTAATAAAAATATTTTTATATTTAAAACATAGATACTTATATGTGAGGTACTTATTTAAAATTGTTAGTAAATCTTTTAATTTGATACTAAGATGTTAACTAATGTACATGCATAATACACACAATCAAAATTTATGGATTATCTAAGTAGAATTTATTCTATTATAATATTTATTTTAATTAAGTATATAATTTTTTATTTTTTATTTTTATTAATTCAATTGATAAACTGATTTTTTGTGTATTAAATTTTTGTATTATAATATTATATTAATTCTTATTAACTTATATAAAAAATATAGATGTATTTACTTTTAAAGTATATAATATTAACAGATTTTACATTCTTAAATCTAAACATAAAAATATATATAATCATTAATAATGATAATTAAAAACCAATATTTTTTTACTTTAATGCTACCATTTATAAATTGATTATAAAATAACAAAGATAAATCACATAATTATTTAAAATAATATTAAAAAATTTGATGATTAGAATAGATTGATTGTAATATTTTTAAGGATTGTTAGACCATGATAAGATGATATCATATAAAAAGTATTAAACACAAGTAATAATTTTGATGCTAACTTTGATAAAAATAAGTTAGTAAGGTTAAGAAGTCACTTCACTTTTATAAGTAGAAAAGTAAAAGTAAAGAATAAGTGTAAGTTATAAGTTAGTTGATAATTAATTTTATGAATGCAATATTACTATAAAATTGATAACAAGTGACATTTGATAAGTTTTATAATACAATTATAATAAGCCACATAATCATGTATTAATTTACTTCACTTTATTTTATGTTTTTATAATTATTATTATTATTATTTCTAAAAAAAATTAAAAACTAATAACACAAATTCATGATACCAAAAAAACCACCATGAAGATTTTCATATCATTAACTATCTTCATAGCAATTTCTTTTTTGACAAATTTCTAGTCAACTTTACATCTTAATAAAGTAAATTATCATCTTCCTACCACCTACAATGCTTTAATCTTCCATACACAATTACAATCCCTTTTCAAACACCTTGCATTTCAATCAACTTAACATAGACACAAAACCAAGATGCTCAACAACAACATGTCACCAAATGGAAGACCAATAAATACCCACTCTAAAAACATCCTTTTATCATTCAAATGAAAATAAGATAAATAAGCTAATCCAAACCACGACAAAAACTAAAACAAAACTTGGGATCATCATTTAAAAAAAAAAAAACCACTGTCCTCCACACCCCTCAACGAACAACACCCTTAACAAAAGAAAACAAAAAAAAAAACAAAAACATAACAAAGAAAACAAACACACAAAAAATCTAAAACCAAATTATGAAACAATCCGGCACTAATTTCTGTGATAGAACCCAGAAGTACAATGTGGCACCGTTGACCTGGTTCCCATGACTGCGACTTCAGTTTTGTCGGTGACGAGAGCTCGAACCTCCCCGACGTCGAGAACGAAAACGATAGCGATGGCGAAACTCATCCAGTGTGCAGCAGTAATAGTAGAAGTAGTAGGCGATGGTGTTGGTTGTTGGTGATGGTGATGGTGAGAGTCACGTGACTTGGGAGACAAGCTTGTGTTGAGTTGGGTTGGGGTGAGGTGGACTCCCAAGTCGTGAGGGGGAAGCACAATAATGCCGCGTCGGGAAAGGGGGTTGAGAGAATGTCACGCAATTTTCGGACAGATTTGGGGGCTGGCAGCAGAGCATGGGGTAGGAGAGCTGGCATGGGGAATTCAGTTACTTGCTCTGGAGGGTGGCGTGCTCATGAAGATGCCTATTTCCTCCTCCTCATCTTTTTCCCTCTTTTTAGTATTTCACTTCGCCAATTTTGCTGCGTTTTTTAGAATAATTCGTGTGTGCTGGTGTTGCGTTTGCTTGAGGATTGATCGACGGCGCTGGGAAGTTGTGTATGATTGCGTAACCGGAGGCTGGAAATGTGTGCCGGATCGACCATCATCTGGAGCGTTTCGTATTGCAAGGATCCGGTGTGCGTTTGAGAGTTTGTTTACTGTGTTGCAGAAATTTCAGGGTTGATAGTTTAGACAGAGGAGTGGTTCGATTATTGGAGAGTTAGGGGGGAGAACTAGATAGTGAGTGTGGATTTGAGGGCGAGAGAGACAGAGAGTAGGAGTTGAAGGGGGGTTTAAGGGAAGAGATGGGGAAGGGTAGGGAGAGAGCATTGGCGCAAGTGCATTGGGCCGTGATCAACGACGATGTGGAAGCGTTGAAGAAGCTGCTGGAAAGGGAAGAAGGGGCGTGGTTGATCAATGGCGCAGACTACGACAAGCGAACGCCGCTTCATGTTGCGGTGTCCAACAACAGCTTGATGTCTGCGCAGCTTCTCCTGAGTGCCGGCGCTGCGAGTGATCCGCTGGACCGCTGGTGCAACTCCCCGCTGGCAAACGCGCAGAAACTGGGGTTTAGCTCCATGGCGAGGTTGCTGAAGAGGTATGGCGCTGAGCCAGTGGCTGAGAATCGATGGGGCGATGGTGCTCTCATCACGAAACCTCCTCAAAGCTGGAGCTGGCGAATCTCGGACCCCAGCGAAATTGATTTCGAAGGCGGAAAGCTCATTGGGAGTGGAGCTTTTGGAGAAATCAGGCAGGCCAATTGGTGGGGCACAACTGTTGCTGTGAAGACCATTCGAGCCTCTCTCTCTCAGGTACACTTCGCACTGTTTCCTATCATCCGGTGAAAGCCATGCAACGCTTCCAAACATGAAATGCCTGTCGTGAGCGAGACGACTTCATTTTATATTGTTGCATTCTTCTATGTTAAGAGTTGTGTGTATGTGTATCTATTCTTAATGTGATTGTGTATGAATTCAGGATCGAGCAGTTGTGAAGGACTTCATTGGTGAGGTGGAGTTGTTGGTGCAGCTGCGCCATCCCAACATCGTGCAATTCTTAGCCGCGGTTACCACCAAAAAGCCACTGATGCTGGTGACTGAATATCTACCAGGAGGAGATCTCCATGCATTGATTCAGAAGGGTCCCTTGCCTACAGATCTAGCAGTTGCATTCGCACTAGACATAGCTCGAGGGATAGCGTATCTTCACGGCGGACCCAATGTTGTCATTCACCGCGACATAAAGCCTCGTAATCTCATCATCGACGAAAACAACGTCCTGAAGGTCGGCGACTTTGGATTAAGCAAGCTGGTAAAAGTGACAAACGTGCATGATGTATACAAGCTGACAGGTGAAACTGGCAGCTACCGCTACATGGCACCGGAGGTATTTCTCAAGGAAGATTACAACACCAAAGTGGACGTCTTCTCATTTGCCATGGTTCTGTATGAGATGTTCGAAGGTGCAGCACCTTTCAATAGCGAGGAATCATACGAAGCTGCTTACATGGTTGCTAGATTCAACAAGCGGCCCGAATTTGGTTCCAGGACTTATTATCCAGAAGGCATGAGGGAGCTAATCACACGATGTTGGTCAGAGTTTGCAGTGAAACGGCCCGACTTCGATTATATCATCGAAGAGTTAGAAAAGATCCAGGAAAGGTCACCGAGGCAGGATCGACACTGCTTTCGACATCTCCTGCAACGCATTCGTTGTAACAGTGAGTGATATCTTCTTCCCGGCCATCAATCACTGCAAAGTTGGATAGCCCTAAAACTCTTGTACCCAACTGCAGCATTTGTATTCTAGTCCAACTAAGAAGCTAAGTGTACAATTTCGTCGTGTTTTCGAAGCTTATGAACCTCAAAGTCTTGGATAGTTCCTGTGTGAAATCCACAGTTAACAAGTTGCAATTATTTTATCCAAAATCCCAGTCATAAAATTGAACTAGAGCCAGCTTGTTTGCTGCATTTCAGCTAGAATGAGATCCGCAACATGGCTAAGGAATTGAAGTTATACACCTGCTGGAGTTGCATTGACAACAACCCAATTAGTAGGATATTCTTATTTGATGTAGGAGGTGATATCAGTAGCTCATTTTCTTTACAAATATGGCAGCATATTGTTGTACTGTACTGGTTGTATAGTATTATTTGCAGGTTGCACAAAGGAAGGCAATCCTGTAGCTCATAATAAGTATAGTTTCTATTCATTTGTGTACAGGCAATGTGAGACTTGAATAGAGTATTTAGAGTAGTGAAACAGACTAATACTCACAGTCTGATTTTATTACTGTAGCGAGAGAGAGAGAGCGAGAGAGAGAGAGAGAGAGAGAGAGAGAGAGAGAATGAGTCTTATCAAAAAAAAGTTTGATAAACTGACATTCTTTTTGGCTCAATTCTAAACCAAGAACTGAGATCCCATTTATTTTTTTGCAATTTTTAAATTTTGTTGTAAAAGTCTTTGTAAGCATGCAAAAGCTCTTGGAATGGAATCTTGATGATGGTTGGTTCCATATTTCTGACCAGTGGAAATGAGGATTCCATAGATTTGACCATATCCACTGGAAATGACTTGCTCGGTCATCGAGTTTTTGTTTTATATATATATATATATATATATATATTTATGGTGAAATTTGTATTGAATGAATTTTTAGCAAAGATGGAAAAATAAAACCTCATGAATAGGGCTTTGTTCATAACTACCACTCTTATTTCGTGTCATGAGATACAAAACAAAAATCAAATTCTCTCCAGTTGTATTCCATTTTCTTTTCTTTTTTTTTTTTTTCCTTTTTTTAAGGTGGCAAGGCACCACCTTTAAGAATTATTCTTGCATGAAGCTGTATTTTTAAAATCTATTTTTATTGGAAGATTTTGTTTCAAGTCCAAAAAGATATATGCACATGTCTCTATTTATATTGGTAATTACATTTTTATATTTTTCATTGAATAATGCAAGAATCTCTAGTAATCTTTTTCTTTGTATCAAGTCTTTTTTGTAATTTTTGTGTAAGATTTTAGCTCTCAAAATCATTTTTTTTTTTTTTTTTTTTTTGGACATTTTTCAATTTTTTATTTATTTAGATACAATGTCTTTAAAAAAGTATAAAATATAACAATAAGCTTTAAACAAGGTAATTCAAATTACATATTCCAAAGTTATTTTGGATATTAAAAAAAATGCATAATATTTGTAAATTGAAAAATTGATTAGAAGTAGTAATTAGAAGTACTGAAATACATCTATATATATATAGATAGATATATATAGATGATTAATATATATGATTAATATGATTATATATGTATATATATGATTAATTGTGATAATAAATCAATACTGTGTGAAGACGTGATATTCTTAAAAAATCAGGACTATGTTATAATGTGAAACTAATGAAAATTTATTAAAGCAAAACCATTTGGAAATTTGAAAAACACCTCAAAACTAAATTAAATTAGATAAATTTATGAAATTTATTGTAAACATGTACTCAAGAAAACAAATTTAGAATTAGTTGATCATTTTAGAAACGTTATAATATATTTACAAAGTCTATTAATTATATTAAGTACTTTTATAAAAACAATCTTTGATTTCCATCATATTAACATCTAATCTACATGAATAATACCATTATTGTTAGTTTTAAAACAATGTTTACTTTTAAATATAGATTCAACTATTCAATTCTATTTTGGTTAATAAATATGCAATAAAATAAAAATAAATATTACATTTTTATTTTATTTTATTTTATTTTTGCTCGATACAAAAGTTTTGAAAATCAAATATGATAGCAGTAACAAATATTATCTTATAATCCACTTAACTACATTAACTATAAAATTCTAACTTAAGCCAATTGGTTTGAAGAGAATTATCCTTTGCACAAATTAATATTTTCAATATGCAACACACCAAAAACATAATCTATCAAAGATCAATAACAAGAGCATGAAACATACTCCACTAAGTTGATCCAATATATTCCACTCATAATCCACAATTAATACAATTTATACACCATGCAAGTACAATGACAGCTCAATGAAGTATGTTTAAGTTTCCCGTTCAACTATAATATTAAAGTACATGCAACAGCAGACAATGACTCAGTTTTGTAAGAACCCACAATGTTTTTTTTTTTTTTTTTTTTTCCTATTTCTTTTCTACAAGTTTTCAAGATAAATTTAATAATCTCCAAGTTGCAAATTTAAGCAAGTTGTGAAACGAAATATACAAGTAGAAATTTATTGTTCAAATTTCAAAATACAAAAAAGAAAAAAAAGAAAAAAAAATAAAATTGAAACAATATGCCAATACTGTTATTTTATTCTTGCCATTCTACTGTGCTTTATTATCATTGTGTAATATGGATACAAAATCTTGAATTACTCTATTATAAGAAGAACTTTAATACAATGAAATTATTTAAAATAATGATAATGCACAATTGCAGTGTAAGGTGGGTTGTCCACTTGGTCCATACTTGTAAAATTCAATTTGATGTATTCAAAAAAATAAAAAAGGACGAAACACTTGATCAGAGTATTTGGAAACATTACTGATGAATGGTTTATACTTTAAGAATTAATAGGTGGACAACTCCCCTAATTTTGCGTAAACGCCCCTTCTACCTCACATATACACAATAAAATTCCTATTTACAGTAAACAGTTTTAAAGTAAATTTATAGTAAATAAAATCCTTAAATATAATAAATAAGCTTTTTGAAGTGAATGAAAAAACTATATTAAATCTATTATAGCATTACATTAAATTTAATTAAAAATAAGTATAAAACATAATTTTTTTGTAACAGTGCAAAGAAATCTTTTACTAAATAAATTCTTAAATGTTTTTAGTGTAAACAAGAGTTTTACTATGTGAGAGTGTGTGGCTTGGAAGGGAAGGATAAGGTGTGTCTAAGTAGGAAAAGGGAGGTGTCCAACTAGCAATTCCTTATATTTTTGGTTTAATTAGACACAAATATGTAATTTTTAAGGAATCTTATTTCAAATTTATCTTTTGTGAGTTGTTTTATTTTTAGTAATTTTGAGAAATATTTTTCAGAACATATTAAATAAACATGTACTTATTTTCCTCAAAATAAAGATATATCTTAATTTGTTATCATTTGATTTATTATATAATAGAATTATATTAAAAATTAGTAGGGTATTTAGATTTACATTTAAATTTTAATTACAACCAAATTTAAGGGCTTCAAAAACTTAAAAAAAACAGAGTGCATTGTAAAAAGAAAATTTTATTTATAATAGAGATATAAACAACAAATATATGTGCTAATTCTAATATTTAATAAATATAGAAGATGATGTATATAATCATTTTAGTTTTTAAAATATTACATATTTATTGTTCATTCTTTAATAATTTAATGCTTATCTAAAGATTTTGTGAAGGTGCATGCTACTTGATCTTACTGTCCTAATATTTTTTAATAAGCAGTATAATTATTTTTTAAGGATTTTTCAATAATATATATTTTTAAAAAATTCCATAAAATATATTTAGTTTTTGGAAAATATTATAGTAGGATTGGATTTAAATATCTTTGTTGACAAAAATTGTAAGCTAGATAGTGATTGTAACATTATTCGCTAGTATTTTGGCTTTAGTATCTACAAAGGAACTAGCTATTATGTCTTATTTATTAAAGACCATGTATTTGATCTTTTTTCACTAATTTAAAGATCGATCAAATGAATTATTTCTCCATAAATTTGCACTCATTTTTTAATATATTATTGTACTTATTCAATATATAATTATATTTTTATTTATTTTTTAAATTTTTAACTTGATAAATAAGTATTTCTATTAATCTTTAAAGTTTTAACATATTTCTTATTGAAAGATGTTTTTTTACAATTGTATATTTTTTTAAATATTAAAATAAAACAAATAAATTTGTATAATTTCTTATTTTTTAAACTATTGATACTTATTTATATATTAAAAGATTAGATTCAATTTAGCATCATAAAAAAATTACCATAAAATTTTAAAATAATATAGATATAATTAAAATATATATTATTTTATTTTCAATCTAAATTTTTAAATATGAGAATGTTGAATAGATCTAAGCTTTTACTAAATTGATCCACTCATCCTAACCATCATGAAAAAAGCAAAAAATAAAATGACCTCTACATTCATTTCTCCACTATTAGATCCAAAAGCAATAAAAACCAAAATAGATATATTTTGTTTTATTAATTTTATATATCTACTTTGAATAAAATTAATTCATATATACCAAATTATTTAAACAGTAGAAAAGTAAAACTAAACAATAACTCCCTACTTTCTCTTCTTCAACATTATTTTACATGGACATAATTTTTGTATATAGTACAAATTAAAATATCATAGTCTTAAATATAACAAGTTTTTTTTTGGATGTGTTAATTCTTATTTTAAAAATAACATTCAAATAAATCAACCATAACTTCTCCAATTATTATCAAATATTTTGACATTTGTTTTTTTTTCACATAGCTTATTTAATATATATATTTATTAAAATTATTTAGAGACTTTGGTGTTATATTTTATAATTTTTATTATTATTATATTATTATATAATATAAATTATAAATTATTATTTTCTTTGCATGTTTTCACATATAAGATTTTTATTACTATTTATGTTATCAAAGTTTTGTATACTATGCCTAATCTTGTATTCTAAAATGTGTAATAATAAAGCCAAATAATGCTTATGCTGCTTAAAATTAGATTTAAAATTTTATCCAGGTTTTATTCATATTATAATGTTCCAAAATGTTCCAAAAATATTTCGATGAACAGTATTCTAAGCACATTGCAATACTAAGCAGAAAAAAAAACAAAAAACAAAAAAACAAAAACAAAAACAAAAAAAACAAAAACAAAAACAAAATACTAACTTTAAAGAAATTCAGAAAAAATCAAAAAAGAAAAGAAAAAACTTCACATTATAAGAGTATACATATAACATTTATGCATTTTCCTCTCATGCAATTCATAAATTAATAGTAGCATGCACATAACGAACATGTAGAACTTTTCCACACTAGGCCATGCAAACAATCCAACACTACAAAAGAAAGTTTGATAACCTTGCAAACCCTAAATTCTTCCAAAACAATGCATGCATGCATGCAGCTCTTTGTCACATCACCGAATTGATAAAACCGAATCACTTTTGGAAAAACGTAACACATACAAACCTTCCACTCAGCCATTAAAAAACCAAGCTAGAAGACGAGGAAAATAAAATTAAAAAAGAAAAAAACAAAAACAAAAACAAAAAAACAAAACAAAACAACAACAACAACAACAACATCCAACAATGACTATGTGTATGTTTGTATATACATATACATACACACAAAATCTAATGCTAATTCAAGGACGAAGAGGGGTTAGTGTTACTGCAGGATCATGAAACAAACCCAATTGTTGCTTTAGCAGCACGATGTGTGGAAATCTCTGTGGAGCTTGAGTTTGTGTAGAATGATACCATTTTCCAGATGCCGACAGATGGTGAGACTTACTCACCGATATGATGTGTGTTGATCTGTGTCCTGGAGATGATCAATTGTCGCATTACAAACAGTGTTTAGGATTGAGTGGATACATCCCAGTTAAGTTGCTTGGATTCAGGTACTATGAACCTTGGAGGGCCCACTATAGGGCCGTGCTGGATGTTGTATAACGCCGCAATTGGTAATGAATGCACTCAGGAAGCTTAGATTGTTTGTGACTCCGTCGTTGGGGGTTGTGTTTCTTTTTCATGCAGGTTTTAAGGTAAAGCTTCGGGGAAGTTTTCTCCATCCATGGTCTTGTCGGAGCGTTTGAGCTGGTCGGTGCTTGTGTAGCGGTGTGAAACGATTGCTGTGAATACGCGTCGATATAGCTTTGCATGGGAGATACCAAAATCTGAAAAAAGCACGTAATCGAGGTCGATCCATAGTATCGAAACGCGAAGTTGCACTCATGACAGCGGCAGTGCGGAGGAGTCGCCATATGGCTCGGCGGGAGTAGCTTGCGCCACATTCCTCGAGAAATACCTCCCTAGCGGGATTACAAATTTGTTGTAGACCTAATTTTTCATGTATGTTTGATGCCGGGCTGGAGATGATGCATTGTCCTCTTGACGCAAGCCATCCATCATGGTGGATTATAATACACGGGCGCTTAAGCACATCACGCATAGTTAATTGGATCCTTGGAGCAATTTCTTCTGAAAAGAAAAGAAAAAACAATGCGACGTTCCAAGCATCTTGCAATCCAGCTACCACGTTGCGTGCAGAAGTTTCCAACGCGTAAGCTGCATGCTCTTCAGTGTTGCGAGGTGGCGCTGCATTAGCCAAATGCTGTGTTAGGTTTTCTTGTATGTGTCACCGACCATTCACTCTGGAAAAGTGACGCTACACTGTCCGTATCCAGGCCGTGTTGAGAAAACCAGCAACACGCACTTTGAGCTGGAAAGGGGATCCTCATGACCCGGTCACAGAACCCCCCTAGGATTCTTCAAAAGCCCATTCCGAGGAGTACCTACACATGTCGACGTAGGGTTTCGGATGGAGTTGCTCAATAAGCAGAATTGTGCATGTAATCACCCGATTTCGGCCAACCGATTAATATCTTGATGCATCACCGGATGACTTAAGAAAACCTCGAAACTGATCACCGCAGCCACGAAGTTAAACCGACGTCCGGTGACCACGACAGGAAGTACAGTTCGTTGAATTGTTCACGGCTTGTAGCAACTCAGCTATCCAAAGATTCTATTCACAATTCGATCCTTTAAAGACAAATGTACATTTCACTTCGGAAATTGGAGCAATGCCGGGTTTCATTCCTCGTTCACCTACAATTGTATATGAAAGCGGTCATCTTATTCTGTTGCTGGTGGGGGGGGGGGGTGGTTATGCTGTGAGAAGCATGAATTCAAAATAATTAGATGGCGCTTGCAACGAGGAGGTCTGACTGTTTCAAACCCCGATCCTCCGGGCCACTTGGCGAAAGATGCAGTCGCCTGCTACTGCTTCCAATTTCCTCAACCTTTCGCACCCCGCTGCACCACTCTTCTTGTACTCTTAAAACGAGTACTCTCGCAGCATAAGCCTCATCTTCAAACTGTTTGTGCCTTGATTCCATAATCTGGCGGGGATCATACTAGTTCTTGGAGTGCACTTCTAACACCTGATGGTTGTAGTCAATTCCTAGTCAACATTGCGGTGACAGTGCACTAAAATCCCTCAGATTGTAACCGCCATAACCGGGCATCAAGGTTTCGCAGCCAGCGAATCAGATTGGATTGAAGTTTTGCAGTTCTGTTGAAGGAAGCTGCAGATCTGAGGTAGGATTGAAGTTGCAGCGTGACGAAAGGCAATTAAGATGGCGGATGTGGTCGATGGAGCAGGCGATGTTCAACCAACTGTGGAGCAGGAATCAAGATCGTTTGAGCTTCCTGCCGCGACCGATCCCACGGATGCGCCAACACCTGCCGTGACAGAGGAGTCTGAAACCCAGCCTCCTGCAGCAGACGACAGTGGCAGCTCCAGCAGCGATGACGAAGCAGAAAGCAAAAAAGCTGAGGAACCCACCCCGGCATCAGAATCACCCGATTCGGTAGCTTCTGCTGTGCCGGCCGCTGCTGCAGGGAGATGGAATACGTTGCTTGACAGGATCCATCCCTCTATGAAGAAACACGCCGACACTGTGGCCAACCACCCGGTTGTGAATACGTTGCGTCAGAGAGCCGTCCAGGCTCATCAGACCGTGGTGAACAATCCCTACGTACAGAAGGGCACGGGCGCCATCAAGGCCAGCGGCGCCAAAACGATGGAAGGAGGGAAGATGGTGCGAGATGACCCTAAGCGCTTTGTTTCCTTCTTTGCCGCCATCGTCGGTCTCATGGCTCTTGGCCTTCTCTTCCGAGGTACTATCCTTGAATCTGCACATATTCTGTCTCGTAGCATTGCCGCACTGTTTCTCCCGTATCCATCATCGCATGCTTCTTCACTTCAGTACAATGTTTTCTTGGAGAGTTGGACGCTGTATGTGAGGATTTGTCTCGTACCCAACATGTTTGTACTCCTATTTGGAGGTCAGCGCGGTGTAGGACTAAGTTCGAAATGTTTCCGGTGACATCTTTGCAGCCTAGATGATGTAGTGAGCATGCGATTGATGTTGATAACTGCAAGCTTACAGCCTAGCATTTTCCAGATCCGATCAAACGTTTCTTAGCGATGTACTGATGAGCGGCATGTTAGATCGAGCTGACAATTCATGTTTTGTATTCCGTTTCGTATGTTTATAATCTCAAATTTATGCGGCAGAACTTTAGTCCCATAGGCAATTGAACTTGGGCCGGAAGTTTGTGTTGTTAGATTATTTAGGTGGAATCAAGCAGAGGCGATCCTAGACACAACTATGAAGTTAGAGGCCATATCAGATCCGATTAGTGCACTTGGAATCATCTATGACAAAGCTGAGAGGGGTGAGATCTAGTTTCGGCTACTGATGACGGCGCTGCATGATTCTTGTTCGTTTGTACAGTGTTGATGCAGAAGTACCCAGAGTACAATTTAGTAAAAGACGCATATGCCCAGATAATGAAATTGGGGAAGGGTCACAAGGAGCTGTAGGATGCCAGTCTCCTCAGTTTCCTTCCAGTTAAGCAGACGACTCGACAATATTATTTCGGCAGGTGATGGAGACCGTGTGATTGTCAAACTTGGGCGTCGGTTTAACAGGAGATGAGGCCACCACAACGGCGAGTCACACAATCTGTTGTAAACATGTTGTTAGCATAATATTCCATACGTGTCAGTGATTTCGGTTGTGTAAAGAATTGAAGCAGCGCAACAATAACCTCGGAGCATGTCATCGAAGCAATTCGTAAATTGCTACCTCGATTGCGTTACTCAAGCCTTATGTAATTCATCTAGTAAAAGAGTGTAATATTCACGAAGTTATACTCATAGGGCAGTGCAAACCCATGTAGTTATAAGATTAGGGTCACAAGTTCTGAGAATGTTGTTACAGTGCTTTTTCATCTATCGACTATGGCGATGCTAAGTCACGCAGGAGAGTTCACGAAATAATAAAGTTGTGCAGATATTATCTAACTCGAGTTAAGTGTCTGAACCTGGATTTTTCTGCATATTTTGTACTGCATGAGATTAGGTGAGTCACTGTGATGCGTTCCAGCTCGATAAAAATCTTCAACATGCAAAGTCATCCTGTGGCAGAATGGGCTTCATCACCCTGGAGCCCACAGTGAACGGCTGATTCTTCCTTCATATGAATATCCCAGAAAGCCAGCTGCCCTTCAATTCTCAATAACCTATCTCCGAGGTTCATCATGCAACAGTGATGAACGTCTACAACACTTTGGAATGATTCTGATTCGATGTTTACAGGAGCTCAATAGATGCGAAAACTTACAACGAACTGATATTGCCTTACGAGTCCGTCCTAATCAGCCATGTGCCCTAAGCACTCTATATAACCCCTTTACCACAAAGCTTGACGATCGAGTTACCGGTACTGCAGAATGAATAGCATCTCACGATGACAATGTGCCATTCAACAAGGAAGCAGAACGTGTCGCGAAATGTATTGACTCCCGCCGTAAAAATGCAGCGACGAAGCAGAAAGCGAGCTATCAAATTTCTTGCCCCACACGACTGTAGTATGCCAAGGAGAAAGCATTTTTCTCGGTAACAATTGACAGTCGAACGAAATTGGAAGAATCGAGGTGTAATGTAGGCCCATGACAGGGCGCGTCCAATCTATTTTTTGCCAATATGCCACAAACATGTGTGCTCCGGCCACAGAGAGTATTGCACTTTGGCGCCAATTTTTTGAGGCCTTAGGATTGCAAGCCTTTCGAAACCGGGTTCTCGTCGCAGTTTGCGCGCTCGAAGTCCGCCGCAATTGTTGTCTGAATCTTTCTCGAGACCTGGAAATGCAGGATGGCGAGCGTGGATCTCGTAGGCAGCGTCAGATTTGGGATTCTGTGATGTGTGGCAAAAAGTTTTGAGGGTGCGGGTGGTGTGATTCATTCGATGTCATTGTACTTTCTGAAACATCGGTTGCAGGTTTTAGAGGTTTAGGAATAACCCTGGTCAGGAAGAAATGAAGAAGGAAGTTACAAGGCATTCATGTGTCCATATTCCGGAAGTCTCGCTTGGAAATCATCGAAATGAAATACATATACTCGACCACGTACTTGAGAAAGGGTTTTACACCGTGCCTCCAGTTCGCGAGTTCTTTGAATTTAAGGTCGAGTTGGGCACCGCCTCCTATACCTAATTTATTAGGACTCCTTTGATCGGATTTTCATCCTTGCTTTGTGAATGAGGGTATTATTTCGATGGAATACATCGTGATCGACGCAACCCAGAAGCTCAGGAAATTTCTGTGTTGTGGATTTTGCTACTTGTGCTGGAGTAGTGGCGAGGTTAGAATGTGTACTCGTGCGTGAATTATCCTCGCCTAAGCATGCGGATACTTTTCTACTCCTCTAAAGTGAAACTTGAAGCTGTAGTTTGCCGAAGTGTCAGTGCTGCCAGTTTGTGAAGTGAGGCATCATGGGTAGGAGGGGCAAGAAGGCGGATGGCCCGGAAGGTATGAAAGCCTGTTATAGGGCTGCTAAGGAGAGTGGAGATCGGGAAGAAGAGGCTCGCTGGGCTAACCAAATTGGTCATGCTTACAAAGACCGTGGTGACTATGTGGACGCTCTTACCTGGTTTCGTTTGGATTACGACATTTCCGTGAAACGACAATTCGACGGCCCGCGCCTGAATTTGATGCCAACTTGCCAGTCGCTCGGAGAGATCTACCATCGCCTTGGGGATTATCGACAAGCCCTGCACTACCAGGTGTATTTTAACCCTAATTTCCTGATAAGCCTTGACAGCATTTATTTACAACTTTTTAAAATTTACCTTTTTTTCTGAGATTTTCTCAGTCATATTGAATGGTCAATCGGTACTGTACGGTTTGCTAAAACTTTCTAATGGAATCATTATTTATTTGAGAAGTGTCCACATTTTGCGATTGTCATTTTTTTCCTTTTGTCTTGCAGTGTGAAGCATGTTTTTATTGTGATGAAGTGTATGGTCTCGTCACCAAAGGAAGTTACAACACTCGCGAAAAGTTCTTTTGCATCGCTTAACCTAATCTGGGACGGGTTTAGGACTTGCGATCTCGATTGCAATCGAAGTTTAGAAGTTTGGAAGCATACGCTAACCCATATTATGGTTGCCAGGAACGGCATTTAGAGCTTTCTGTGGAAGCAAATGATCTGGTTGAGCAACAAAGGGCTTACACGCAGCTGGGACGAACATACATGGATATGTATGAGTTTCAAGAAGACGTGCTGGCATTGCCTAAAGCAAAAGATTCATTCAATAAGGCTATGGAGCTTGTTAAAAAGCTGAAAGCCAATCCTGTGCCGGGCTATGCCTCAACTTATATTGTAGAACTGGTTGATGCTTATAACAACCTTGGTACAATGAAGATGGTTACTGATGAACCTTTGGAAGCACGAAGACTTTTGTTGCAAGGACTTAGAATATGTGATGAAGAAGAGGTTGGCCAGAATGATGCTGCTAGGACCCGAGTGCACCACAACTTGGGGCGCCTTTACGCGGAAAAGCGCCAGTGGGCTCAGGCCATGTCTCATGTATTGAAGGATATTGAGATTTGCCGAGCACTTCCACATCCTCAAGGTGAGGTTAAAGGTTTGATTAACTTGGCTGATATTCACTTCAAACAGCGACAATACATAGATGCCATAAGATGCTACAATCTGGCGCACGTGATCGTAAGAAAATTGCAGGACGAGGACGGGTTGATGAAAACAGTGGAGACAAACAAAGAAGTTGTGGAGGCTGCTATACCCAAATTAAAGGCCTTTAACTTGAGTTTGGCAAAGCACAAGGAATTGCAATCGCAAGTGGATACAGCTCGGGGCACAGCATTAGAGAGAAGCCTTTGTCTGAAGGAGTTCAAAGTTTTGAAAGAGCTCATCGGGCAGGCCTTTGAACTGCAATATTGGGAAGAGGTGTGAGTTCTTGTCCACATATTTTTTGGGATGATAAGTGAGGCGCTTCTTACGAACTAGAAAAACCACCAGAAGGAGGATTCTGATGTCATTTGACCTTGGATATTCACTTGTGTCTTGTGATGTCATCAAATTCTTTGTTAAACTTTATGTTTGATGGACCAGCCTTAGTGGTCATTCGAAAAGTGAATCCTGCCTATAGCCTTAAGCTTTTGCTCTAAACTGCAATTTCCTTGTCAATCCTTCAAGGCCTGAATCTTTGTGAATGGAAACCGCGACTCTTCCTCTATCAACGCACTTAGTTATCTCTATTATTCCCTCGACAGTTAAGTTAGTTTCATGTCAATGAATTTTGTTCGTGCTCCTGCTCTTTTCAGCATTTAAAGCTTGCTAAACGGTTGAAGAAAGTCGTGGACGCTCTTGGAGATTTAGAGAAGATGGGAGATGCATTGGATACTATTGGTGAATCTTATTGCAATCTTTGCAATTATGAAAAGGCCAAGAAATGGCATCTTAAGAGCTATAAGGTCTGCCAGCGAGTGCATCATGACGAGGTGGGTTGTTTCTTGGCAGCATGTTACCCTGCATCGGTAGAAGACTATATCACAGGCTAATTGTTTCGTCAAGGGCTGTTACGATTTGCACTAAATTATCGAAGTGTTGTGAAATACCCTTTCTCATTCTTTTTCTGCCTCTAAGTTCTTTATTGTGAATGGTTTGGGTGTATCGCCCAGATCCTTCAGATTTAATGGTCAAAATCATGCTATGGCAAGGTCTTCTTGTGAACGCTATTTTCTGTTGATTCTCTGCAAGTCCTGCTATACTGCCACGTTCCTAAACCTTAGTTGCAATTTCATTAGTTCTGTGGCAATAATGTTACTTTTTAAGTGCTTCTTCTCATGTCAGGGACAAGCGGTTGCTTTGATCAACTACGGAAATGCCTTGGATTCTTCTGGTGATTTCAAAGGTGCCTTGAAAGCTTATCAACAAGCCTATGAGTAAGATCCAAAATACTGAGAGTATTATGCTTAATCTTGAGGCTGAATATGTTTTGAGCTAGTAGAATATCTACTATAAGTCCATGCTTCTCTATCTGTTTCCACATTCTTGAAAGCACTTTCTTTTCCAATACTTGCATTTGAGATGATAAACTGCGGGTTCAAGTGGCCAAGACATGAATACATCATTCAGTGTTAGTACCATAGCCCTTCTAGCCTTCTGATTCTACGGCGAGTTGGTATTCTACTCCTAATCGGAGGGTAATGCTCAATGAATTATTAGTCTAAGCACACGCCACTTTTCACATTGCGGATAAATTTCGGCGAGCCGAGTGTTGAACTTCTCGTTTCATATTTAATATTCACTTGCTCTTGAGTGTGAATTCTGGACCTTAAGGCTCTTCATTGGAATGCCGCTAGAACTTTTCGCGTTAACTCTTCTCTTCTGGGGTTTCAGCATCGTAAAAGAAAGTGGAGATAATCATTTCCTTGATTTAAAAATCAGTGCCCTCCAGAACATGCACTACTGCTATGTTGTTCGTTTCAGCAAATTCAACGATGCAAGGTTAGGTGACTATCTAACTAAAAGCTGTTCTCCTAACTATTCGCTTGATATCAGCAGTGCTTTCTGTGTACATATATTATTTTGAAAGTTAGAAGAGAACCCATGCTTTCTTCGGTTGTTAGTTTAGAAAATAAGGGAAGAGGCTGCGACTCACACTTAGATTAATTTATCTATTCTTGGGTAGCTCAGATGAAGGATAGTTAAGATGTTGGGTGGTTCTGTTAAGTCCCTCAATCGAAGTTATTAGATTGCAACTTGTCTTTCTCGAGTACATTTCATGATGCGGGAGGGTGTTGTCACACTAGAGTTGTGGAAGCTGAGATGAAAAAGCTTGAGCAATTTAAGGAGGACCGTGAGATTGAGAAGGAAGAGGATAGTGATGATCGGTGCTCAGAAACAGATGATGAGGCTGAGGAAGATACTACACAAGAGGCTATGAACATTGATGATGAAGAACTTGCGACTTCTTGTACACTTTTGGGCAGCACATTCAACGCCCAGGGAATTAGTGACCCACAGGGAAAAACAGAAAGCCGCACTGGTTTGGTAAGAAGATCACAAGCACCAGACTTCCGGAAACGATCAAGGATGGTGTTATCTGATGAGGAAAGTGAAGAATCTGATGATGCTATGCTCCCAAGTCCTCCAAAGAGAAAATATACCCGGTCAAACGCCAGAGGCCCTAGTGCACCAAAGGAACGTCCTTCTTCAAGTGTGCGAAAATCTAAGAGACCAGAGAGCGGAGCCCTCAACCTTTGCTCCGATGACGACGAACCTCTAGCAACTGCTTTGGAAGCATGTAAAGCTGCTAAACGCAATAAAAAATCTTCACTGAGACATTCTAAGCTTACGAAAGATCAAGGTATTGAGCATAAGAATGTAAATTCTCTCAACTCCAAAACTAGGAACAGTGGATTAGCACGACGAAGTGATGTCGTTCAACGTAGTCCAGGGCGGAGACCTATGCAAGAGGATGGAGATTGGACTTTCACAAGATCATTGGGTACAGGCAACGCTTCTCGTAGGAAAGACGAAGACTTCAATGATGAATCGCAGCCATTAATTCAAGTGGCTGGAGATATGGGTAAGACATTAGCAAGTGGCTCACTTGTCCGGGGTTCTCAACGTGAAGCAAGAAAATCATCTTCAAGTCACCAAGATGGTGCTACTTCGCACAACAGTGACACACAAGCGCGTTCTAACGTGATTCAGGTGACGTTATGTGTCGTGCATGTATTATATAAACGAAATTTGCAAGCTTGATATTTTATTTCACTTTTTTTTGTTATTTTAGGTCAGCTTGTTTTCATTAAGTGGTCCTGTCTTGAACGCTGTCATTCTGGAACGCCCAAATATGAGTTTTTCATTTTTTGGATTTATTACTATCCAAAACTCTGAATTAAAAGATTTTGTTTATTTGAATATGCTGATCCTCAATGGATATGCAGCTATACATATCTTTCACTTTTGTGATGTAAATCAAGGTCTCAATAAGTTCTTTTGTATAATTTGAAGGCACCTTTGATCGTCCCCGTCAACATCAATGGGCAAACACTGCGTGTGATTATCAAGCGGTCTGAGACAGAAAGAAATAAAACAGTTGGCTGGTTAATGGAAGAGATTATTCGCCTCTACACTTGTGATAACTCAGCAGGTAATTTGTATAAGGTCATTGTTAGATGATGGCAATTAATGGTGGTGAGTTGACTAAGTTAGCTGCTATGTTAGCTTGGCCATGATAACAGGAATGATATGTGTTTCAAAAACTTGGTTGTCAATGATACTCAAAGGGCTTCAAAATATGCCATGTATTTGCACGTGTACCCTCCACTAAATTAAAGGCGAACAGACTGCAATTTTAGTGCTTGAAGTGTTCAACTCCATTATCTGTTGCCACAATATGAACCATGAGAAGTAACATTGATACTTTTAATGTGAGCAGGCAAAAAACCAGTAGTGCAGAGACTGGAGTTCAAAGGCAGTATCCTTAAGCCGATTCAGATTATTGAGGAAGTTTTGAACGATTTTACCGCTGATGACTCTATAGATGCTATCATTCAAGGTACACTTGAAGATCTATGTTTTCTAGGTGTTTCAGTTCTACGTACCAAGCCTACGAACTTCTTTTCATAGCATTTGCGCAGAACTTGCGTAGACTTTTCTTAAAGGATTTCTTAAGCTTAGAAACCTGCTTAAAACAGCTTTCAATGTAGTGTTGAAAGCCTGGAAGTACATGTTGGCTAAGATATTAGTGTCAATGACAATACGTGTGCTCAGCTGTATGGATTAATGTTGCAAATTCAAATATGTGATACGAACTAAGATTTAGTAAGTGGGAGGACACAGGTTGGGTGGCTATACCTGTTGTGGAGCGGTACGAGGCGCACTGCATTGCTGCTAATACTAGCGTTAATGCTGCACTCGCACTTAAGCTGAAGCTTCTCAAGGTCGCAAAATGAACTCCTCTCGTAGTTCTTATCTTATGCTATGTATGCTATGATATTTGATAAGAATACCTGCTCCATCCTAAGTTTGTAGATTATCTTGTATCGCTCTATTAAAATTGAGTAATCGGAAATCAACTTTTTTGCAGGGATCCTATGAGGAGGTTGATGCCTCCAGCTGTGACCTACAAGATATATCGGTCAGGCCTTTGATAAATGCTTTGCAAGAAAACGAAGCACTCTCGTTTCTGGATTTGTCTCATAATCTCCTTGGTAAGAACCATTTCTTCTCGTGTTTCTTGATTTTTATCTCAGCTCGATGCTTGTCCTCAATGGCTTCAATTGAGGTTTTGAAGTGAACGATAACCATTTACGCTTTTGCTGGAATCAGGTAGATACAAGGTGGACTAGAACTCACCAGTTTAAGTGCATCCTTGGCCAGCATTGAGTTAGTTGGTTATTTGTTGTTGCGGCAAGGAATTTTTTATGTGAAATAAGCAGTAGACCCTTTTTGAATATTGGTGTCGGCACTAATATATATAGTCTTATCCAACATGCTGTGTCTCAACTGCTGAATCATCGTGAACAGGCAATGCAACAATAAATGCTATACAAGAGATGGTAGCTGCCACCAACCAGTGTGATTTAGGACTTACTTTGGACCTTCATAAGAACCAGTTGGGAGCTGGTGCTCTTGTTCAGGTAGCCTTTCTCACTACCATAGACAACGTACATCATGTTGTTTATGAATTTTTTTAGAAATGGCAGATTGTCAGCGCACTGGTTCTGCTCTCCTGTGGTGAAGGTATACCGAATGCAATTATACAATTTGCTCCTGCAGAATGCATTTCAGGAAGTAATGATAATCATGTTTTAATCTTCTGGTAATGACACTGGGATTACTCTAGCATCTCGGGTTTTTTAATCTGAAGTGGCGATGGTTTGTCTTTCCTGTAGTCTTTACTTAGATGTCGACATCTTTGTTTGCACTCCACACTGACATAGTCTTTGCCCTGCGCAGATTGCCAAATGCCCCGTTACTCTTTCTCGTTTGGAAGTGCTCAAACTATCGGGAAACCGCCTTACAGATGCTGCTGGAAGGAACCTGGCAGCCATCGTTGGACAAAGCAAAGGTACAAATTTCAGCTATTCTATGCCTTCCACACAGTGCTATGTTTTCAAGTGTCGAAGATCGATAATCGCAAATGGCTTCTGGACTTGTTGTTGAAATCTATCCACCTCTTGTATGTTTTCACCGTTCTGCTTGACAACTTTTTTGTGTTATTTGGCAGCTTTGGCAACTTTGGAGATTGAGAGATGTGGACTTACTACACGTACGATACAGCAGATTAGTAGTTCTTTGCAACCAGAGTCGTCGCTTGTGAAACTCTGCATTGGTGAGTCAGTTTAAACTCCACCTCAATGTCTTTGTCAATAACTTACGAAGAATGCCGAAAATAGCGAAACATCTCTGATGAATTACACCCGTGAGTTTGTCGCCTTTATCGAGGCCTGGGCAATTATGCTGACAGGACAACTCAGATGCTCCCTCGCTGCAGAGTCTATGTAATAATTATTAGATCTTGCAACGCAGGACACAACAACCCAATTGGAGGCAGTGCCCTGTCCAGCTTATTTCAGAAGCTCTCGAGGCTCCTGAGGTACACATTCGACATCTATGAATCTTACCGCATGGTAGCGATATCACAGATTGTTATTCCCCTAAAGACTAGACGTACTCGATAATCACTTATGAATAGATGCATGACTTCATGGCTGCGATTTGGGTATTGTAGTTGTCTGAGGGAGGAAATTGTGGAAAAATCGTGTAAGGGCCTGCATCCTAACAAGGTTTTCATTGTATTTCAGTTTCACAGAGCTTGATATACGGGGTATTGAGCTCGACGATAAAGGAGTGCTTGCAGCTGCTTCCTTAATGAAGTCCTCCAGTCTCTCCGTGCTCAACATGGCAGGATGTGAGATTCAAAATGTAAGCGTCGTTCTTCCTGTTTTCAGCATTTTCGTCCTGTTAAACCTGTGGATGAGCGTAGTTTCACCTAAAAGTCTGTCTCACGGTATGTTTTCAGTTCTAAGTGTGGAAATTGTATGTTTGCAGCATGGTGCACAGGTCATGTGCAAGGCCTTGGCAGGAACCACTGTGCAGCTTCTGAACCTTGACTTATCCTCGTGTCGATTAAGTCGAGAACCAGCTCTAGAAGTTTGCCATAAAATGGCATCCATATATGGGCTCTCTACACTGAATCTCAGTAATAATCAACTTAGCGAACAGGTGTGTCTCGATTCTATTTCTGTGATCCAGATCGTCGAGAGAACTACCAAATGCGTTGCTGCTCATCCATTTATTTGTTCATTCTTCTTTTTCTGCTTCTAGAATTGCTTTTTCAAAATTATTTGATCCGAAGTACGTAATATGTTGTATCTGCAGGGGGCAGAAGTTTTGTCTCTTGCTCTACGTCAAGAAGAGTGTCGGTGGAAGTCTCTTACTTTGGATGACTGTTGCATCGGTCAGACTGGTGTCCTTCTCCTTTTGCAGGCTCTCGAAGGTAAGTTTCCTTACGCATTTTGAGCTCGTTAACGATGAGAGCCTGAGCAAAATCTTGCAGGATTGGAATTTCAAAACTTGCGAAAATTTGGTAGTTTCTACTGGGAGCTCGGCTCATTCTGATTGTTCTGTACAACATTATGAGAAAAGCAGAGGTGCTTGGCTATTTGCTTCTAGTTCAATATTTATAGCTGCTACATTTCTGAAGTTGATTTATGAAATTCAACTGATTCACGCGCTCTTGATTAACAGGAAACTCAGTTCTATGGGAACTTCATGTTGCTGGAAATTTCAAATTTGGGATCACAGAATCGTTAGCTATGGCGATTGTTCCAAGCATAGACCTTGACGTGAGTAATCATGTAACCCAACAGACTCCGAAGTCTTCGAATTCTGCCCTTAATCAAGAGCAGGGTTCAGGAGTTCCTTTAAATGGTACGGAACATTCTAGAAGTACATTTTCAAACTGTAATGCACCGTACATAATTAAAAAGACGGATTCGAATCTCCAAGAAACTTCTGACCATGAAGGTCAACATGCAGCCATTGACCTTGGCACCTACGATAAGCCTTACGGAGATGCATTCCTGAACGAGCTTACTCAAGTAGAGGAAGGATTTCCAGAAATCTCTGAAATTGTGAAGGACATAGACGGAGGATTGGCCGACTCAGATTCCAATGAGAAGCAAGCGGATTCTCATGTGATAGAGAATCTTATCAAAAGGATCCGAATGGCTCAGGGGCTGGAGTGCTTAAATATGAAAAAAAATGGTCTAAGCACGGAGGTTTTGAAGCATTTGTGGGAAGCTTGGTGTCATTGTGGAAGAACCGCAAGTACAGAGTTCGTAAGCAAGGCACACTTTGTTGTGCGAGATGGTAGGGAATGCTCTGCGTTAACTTCTAGCTGCGTATATTGTCAGCCACGAGCCCAGTGAATGAACCTATCTATCCGAGAATTGAGCAGATTATCAGTGACTTGGGGGACTAGCTGCATAGTTCGTTGGAATTTCAATCCTGGGAAGAGCTCTATATTTCTCTGCAGGCGAAAATGGCTACCAGAGTTTTGTTGAAACAGGAAAAAGCATACTAGGAATAGACGGGTAGAAATTTTATGTTGCTCTTTCAGCAACACAGCCCCGTGTGTGCCCCGGTTGTTAATTTCGTTCGGATCGTTCAAATCGGACAGAATCATGGACAGGATCTTGTACCTGAAGACCTGAATGTTCTGGAGAAGCCTTTCACAATCGACGGAACTGGTATCATATGCTGGAGTATGTTCAGTGAAAAGCTCAGCATATTAGTCCTAGCACGATGTGTGCATCTGCGAAGTGTATAATAAAGGTGACCCTCCTTTTTACTCTCGCAAGGCAGATAATTTTCAAGATTGAAGACTTTGAACCAGCAATTGGCTGTAGTGTAAAGGGAACTCTCTTAGGGTAGATAATTTAAGCCACTTAATTTTTGTGGGTTATTGATACCTTTCCTGAGAAAACCGTGTGCATGATTGCGCACACTGAGACTAATCACCTCGCTTCAAGAGGCATATCATTGTGTATTGTTGAGAATCGATATCGAATGCAGCTCAGTTCTGTTGAAAAGAGAGAAGTATGGTTCATGTTCGATGAGTTATTATACTACCGTTGTTTACATGGGAGTCCAATTGGCTGTCAAAGTGGGATAAATTAGAAACAACCACTCACGTCCTTAAATCTCCTTATCTCAAACAGAATTTATGTGCTAGGAATTCACGTCGGAGATCGACACTGTAGGACTACTCATACTTCTGATCACAAGTCACAAATATACGAACGCTGCAAACGCACTGTTAGATTCATAGGCGTTGAATGGGAAACGAAGCCAGATAAATGGTTAGATTCTTTTGTTGAGTTTCTCATCAGGAAAAAAGTGAGAAAATAAGAGGAATGTTAATGGATATTTTCCCTCTTTATAACAATATTACTTATTCCATGAAAAATTATCATTCTAAAAAGATTCCATAAAACGCTGTAGGAAGTAACCCCTTACATGAAACTTAGATTTTAAAAAACTGCGTTACTGTGAAATTTACAAGAACAAGATTTTATTGCGGCTATGTAAAAGTAAAACAATGTGGAATTTAAGAATCAATGTACACCACACTAGAAAACGGTGTAGTAAACAGAACTACATCAATAATTTTATGATCTAATAAGCAAGCGTATGGGTCGCACATGCTGACGGTTGACAGCAAAAAAGGAAAAGAGCATATAAACCGAAGCAAGATTAAGCAAGAACCTTTTGTAACAACTCTTAAAACCAGGACCCGTCAACAGATCTCCTTTAGACACAAGCCCGATAGAATACTTTCAATACTCGGTAGTATGTAACAAGGAGTATGGACTTGCTGAAACTAAAACCAGACCTAATATATGTCTTCAAATGGTGGTGTTAATGGCCAAGCTTACTCCAAGCTGCGATCCACGCCTGCATAGACGACGCAACCTCGTTGAAGGTGGGATCTCCGGCCGACAGCCTGGACTTCGCTTGCTCCGCCAGTTCAAGGTAACAACCCTTTACATCCACTGGATTGCCACTCAACCGTATGGTCTGGAAAAACCCAGCAATTAGATCCAGCTTGTTGCCATCTCCTTGCCCTAAAGCAGCCTTCTCGTTCGCTACATTCGCTTCATTACGGCAGATGTAGGGCAAACCAGTCTTCACACCCCAATAGTTGTGGTCACAAATCGTCTTGCAACAGAGGCCCGCCCAAAGCTCACCAGCGCCATTTGCAGAGGCAAGCTGAGGAGGCTCGAACATGAGCGGTCCCACCAGACTTCGATCAAATGCCAGATTGATCCCGCTCATTGTGTACAAGGTGTTCCTCGGGATGGTCAGTGTCGCATCCACATATCGTCCCGTGGTAGCATTTTTCCAGGAACCCAGAGACACGGCTGTCGGCACACCCTCCCGCCAGCTAAACGGATACCCTCGCACGAAATCCGTCCCAACTCGATATGGATCGTATAATGTGTTGAAAAAGAGTGGTGTCGCAGGAATTTTGAGGTTCACGACATGCTCCACAACGGGGTTGACAACGTAGCCCTCCGGGTCCTGGGCTGGTGAGCAATCCGGCTCCATGGAGAACACGTACCGCCGCTTGGCCATGAGGTAGCCGAAGCTTCTGCAGCTACGGCCGTTGAATCCGAGCTTCTTAACTAGCTCTGCACTTAACAACTTCACGATGTCGTCCCTCGTATACACATCCGCATCAAACCCTTCGGGCACTCTTATCGGCTCGGGAAACGCTTCCCCCTGCACCACAATCAGATGGCATCCCTTCAACATCTCCCGCCATACTTCCAGATAGCCTAAGTCCGGCTTCAATGCAGCCACCACAACGTCGACCTCCCCAGGGAGGACATTAGGAACCAACTTCGCCATCCCTGCGAGACAATTTCTCAATGGATCCAACCTGCAATCGCAAACCAACCTCACGTATTTCAAAAACCCAGCTCAACTCTCGTTCCTCCCCTCGTGCAAAAACTCAAATCCAACCCACATATATGCCGATCTCAATGCACTTCGAAAGAAAAACCCAGGCATCACTTCCCGTCTTCGATCAACATGACTCTTGTACCTAACAATGCCGGGTTCTCCAATCTGTTGATGTTGAGAGAGCTCGGGAGCAGCGAAATGGAGATGAAATGGGCTCCAAACTGAGACGATTGCACCTTCAAAACGATGTGCCACAATTGCAATAGCCTTAACTACCTGCTCACGACACCAATATCTGACATTCGTGGCACGTCCAAGCTCAAATTTGGTGCCGTGTTATCATCAAGCATGACATATGCATTACGACTCGCACTCGAAACGGCGCAGTGGGGGTGAGAAGAATAAAAGGAGACAAAACAAGGCCATCGGATGAATGGTGTTAATTGAATGTCGGATGTTTTCAGAAGACAATTTCCCACGGATAATGTGGCTTTTCTCGTGGCAGATTCATGCAATATGTTAGTGAGATGTTTCAATTAATAAAAATATTTTTCTGAAGTTAAGATTTTTTTTTTGGAGTTGTCACAAGAAGCGTGTTTTCTGCAATAAAATCAGCGGAGTAGCAGCAGTGGGTCATGTCAAGCTACTTGGCAAAGCAAAATTGGTGACATGGATTGCTCACGGCACAGTGTTTCGTTCTGTTTGCAGTGTAGATATGTTTTCTAAAGTAGGATTGTTATGTGTCAGCCCGTAATTTAGAAATGTTGGTACTAACTAAAGGGTATGTGTACTGATGAAAACTTCATAAGCTTTCTAAACAAAGTTAATAAATTAATTTTGGTTGTGGCAGAATATCCATATGGTTGGGTCAGATACTTGTAATGCAGGGGTGAAACAGTGTCTTCAGCTCAAAGCAATGGGCCCAAAAATAGATGTGTTGCATGAAAATTCACCACGAAGGTAAGTGTAAGAAGAATAAAAAAATTAAAATGTTGTAAAGAATAAAATAAGCCAAATACTTGAGCGTGTGGATCGTATACGAGAAGCGACTCCCAGACCTTGTCAAGTGATGTCGGTAATCCACTTCAGAGGTAACAGATTCTGCAAATTGCTTGATAAGCACTAAATTTCCGCCCGCATACGTGATTTTGAGGTGCATGCGTAAACGAAGGGCCAATCACAGACTCATATTAAACAAAGCTCCGATTGCACGAACAAGTATTCTGGTCATGCAGACGTGGCAAGTGCATATTGCAATCCAGTAATAAGAATCCATAAAGCTAGTCGAACAAGGCTTTCATGCTCTTAAGATATAACTGTGAGAATTGACTAATTGGAGCCTAATGGTACAATGCATTAACATAACATCCGAGAACATGTTGGCAAATTAAATTCCTCCAGATCCGATGAAGCCGCCAAACAATGCTTTTCCAGCCGCAATAAAGAGTGTACAAGATTATATAAATAGGAGGCAGAACAACGAACTTGCTAGAAAGATGTGTAGGAGCCGCACATACGATGCTGAGAACCTGCAATAAATCAACTAGTAAGAAGTTCAAATTTGACAATCTAGAGCTGGACAGATACGTGCAGAAAGCATCAGCCACTCCAAAAGTCCAGTGGACTTGCACTGAGACAACCGAGTAAGTGAAACTTACGTGATTAAATAATGGCAACTTCTGCTTCTTGACAAGTCGAATACGCTTTCAGCAGATGAGAAAGCTATTTCACCTTTCCACAACCTGTCGTCCACACAAAACAAAACAAAACATATTAGTTCACATCACATATAATGCATCAAAGACAATCCATCTACGCAACCACAATCTATAATAAATTTCTGACTCAAGCAATCATTCTGACCTTCAAATATACTAAGTGCCATATCACCCGCCAATGTGTATCATGGGTCTATTCTGAGTCCGAGCTAACTCAAACATGCCAGCATGCGCAGCTTTCTTTCGCTTCACCTGCACAGGTCAAAAAGCAATTATCAGTTGTGTAGGTCTCTCATCCCAATCCGTTATTACTAAGGCAATTTCTAGTACTAAACTCCTAAATATTATACGAGAATGATTAATACAGTATCCACAGACTGCAGAGAGAAAAGGAAAATCTACAAACCGCATCACTGATGACCTGCTGCAATTCGGATTCCTGCATGCCACTGCGTACCGCATCCCGCAGGCTGACCTGAAACCAATATATACATATGAGTGTGAATGTGGTTCAAATAAAAGCCATCGAAAACTGTTACTTCTCTCAAAACATTCAACTCAACCACACCCTTAAATTATTGTATTAGAGGGTATAATTCAGATGTCTCCCACTGCAGTTATGGCAATGAAACGCTTCTGATCAGAGCTTAAACCATCACAAGGCAAAGGTATTCGAGTGTGGTCTCACACACGATATCCAACACATGTCTAACAGTTGCACACGGTTGGCGAGTACACAACACCAGGATAGGGATTGTCATTTCCTACAATCATTTGAAACGACTATCCACGCATGGTTGAGCAATGCCATGACAACTACAAATCAGATAGCTTGACACATGTATCTTGGTGCGAGGCTCACCTCTGATGGACCGAACAGGCAGACTTTGAGGTTGCCGTCAGCCATAAGTCGTAACCGATTGCAACCTGAGCAGAAATGTTGAGTCATCGAGGTGATGAATGACACCGTGCCTAGATACCCCTCCACCCGGAAATTCTTAGCTGTGTCGGTAGGGTGGTCTTTTAGTCTATATATACTCGGAAACTTATTCTTCTGCGCGACAATTTCCAATTCAGCACTAAATATCCAAACAGTGGAGGGTATGGTAACAAGATTTCATCCAAACAATAATAGCTATAGAATGATAAAACCAAATCAAACAACGTGTACTGCGTGTCAAGAAGAATCACGACAGTAAATTTGAACTATTCTATACACTTCGAAGGAACTATGAAAATGTACCAAAGATATGGATTGAAGACATAAAGGGCGTTAAAGATTTACAATCGTGTCCATCATCTCCACGTACGAAACCAGCTTTTTGGGATTCCAAACATTGCCATCAAAAGGCATGAATTCGATGAACCGGACATTGATATCTCTATCCCGCGTTATCTCAACAAAATCTAAGATCTCGTCGTCGTTGAGACCTCTCATTACAACTGTGTTTACCTGAGCACATATAACAAACAAACAGTTAAAACGAGCCACCTAGAAGTTGAGATTGCTTAACTTGATTTGGCATGATCATACAAAACTCTGGAAGTATTACAAAAGATTAAAATTAGTTTTGGTCGCGAAACACAAAACTTCCATCATCGTCAATCATCATCACTAAGGAACCTGCACAGTGAACCTATTCCCTTGAAAAAATATTTCTAGATCCAATCTCAAACTTTCAGGGTTCAAAAGAAAAAGAACATCGTCTTACCTTAACTGGAGAGAATCCTAATCCCAACGCTGTGTCAATGGACTGTAGGACTTTATTATGTCCCTTCCGCCTTGTGAGGAGCTCGAACTTAGCTGGGACTAATGTATCTAGACTAATATTAAGCTGGTTTAACCCAGCCGCTTGCAATCTGAAGAGTTTACGCGACAAAATGATGCCGTTGGAAGTCATAGCTAAGTTTTGGAGACCTGGAAGGCTTCTTAACTGCTCACATATTTCCTCAATGTCGGATCTGATGCTTGGCTCCCCCCCTGTAAGCCGGATTTTATCAACCCCACCAGCAACAAAAGTGCTAGCGATTCGGATTATCTCTTCTTGAGAAAGCAGCCCTGAATTTGGTGTCAGCTCAACACCTTCCGCAGGCATGCAGTAATGGCAACGTAGGTTGCAGCGCTCAGTGAGTGATATTCTCAAATAATTGTGCCTCCTTCCATGGGAATCAGTAAGCATATCAGATACTCGATCTGCTTCTTCAGCATGTCTCCTCTGATAACGAGGATCTGCTTCAATAGTAGAGGACCTTACAGGAGAGACTGCAGAGACCACACAAGATCAACCTAAGCACCACTTCGTTATCTGCAGCAAGTCGATCTAAGCCATACCTTCAGATACTGCTGAAATACAAATTCCAAATTAACAGAATGAACTGAATGAAGTGCAAAACCTGAAGAACTGAGTACAGAATTGGCAAAAGATGGCGTAGATTGACCCTCTCACCTCCTTCAATGCTGGATTTCTCTCTTAAATTGTCCGAGCGCGGCTTTTCATTCGAGTGACGATCAACTTCACCATCTCGACGCTCATCTTCTGGTTGCGGTTCTTTCTCAAGGGCTAAAGCATGGAAAGATACGACACTCCCCTGTTTACAAACCACTGCAGATACTCCCGAATACCCCTGCTAATACTAGGAAGACAGTCAATAAAACATCCCAAATGCCAATTCCCGAGCTGAGAACCCGAAAACATTCTTCCCACTCTTTTCAAAGCTAGCGTCCTACTTCAAATCCAAATGCCAAAGATCACAATCCTTCATCAGATATCTCACCCCTGACATTGAAGCTCCAAATTCTGGAAATTGAAAACTGGTCACTAGTTCAAAGCTACAGTCCTGCTCGAGGACAAAGGTCATAGTATCAACCAATGATAATTTCCACGTTTAATCTGCGAGACCCTTAAAAGCATTTTGACCCTGAGGCTGAAGAAAACAGCGATAACAGCACGACAAATGCACCAAACTTAAAGTGTACCACTGAGGTAGTAAGAAAAAATTTACAACCTAAATTAAAAAAAGAATTTACGAATAAGGCTTGACACCGACTCCCATGTTGAGTCTCATTCCTCGAGGAATATCCTGCTAATCTAAATTCAGCAATTAGGGTTCCAGATTCTGGGCGTCGAGATGATCTCTTATCCAATGACGAAAGTTCGTGGATGCACCATTTTCTTTACAAGAAGTACAAAAGTTGCATCATTGACCGATGATTGTTATATTCCAACCACGACATTCACAGCGCAGCTATGATCCCCGAAAATTTAAGTCTAATCACGAGTTTGTTAGTCGACAAAGCTAAAAGTGAAGCATACATACATGGAATCCGAACCCGGTCGGCGCAGAAGAGGTTGTGAGCGATCGGGCGGCACGCAAGGAGGACAGCGCAACCCACTGCACCCATCTCATACTGACTACCGCCCAATCACACGCAGGAGCGACTGAGTCCTCACAATGGCCGGCACACCAATCCGCCAACGAATTATTCACCCTTCCCTCTCCCAAAGCTCCAAATCAAGCCAGCATGTGAAACTCAACAAACGGAAGCATCGAGGCATATGAAACAAAACCACCACCTCCTCCTCCTCATATACAAATGCAGACACAGACAGTCTTCTCGGCTCTCCGCGGCACAAACAGCTTCACCTCTGCAATTCAGGGCAGTGCATACAGCTCTACAATTGGCATATAATTCCCCAAGATGTCGATTCTGCGGCTTCTACAAAGTCGAATTTGAGTAAAGGTTCGAAATAATCTGTAAATCTAGTGCAGATTCTGCCGGCGGAGGCCACAGCTTCGACCGTCGATGGGCCGGATTCGAATGGGCAAGTCCAAAGGCGCCATGCAATAGCCATGAGAGCTTATTCGACGGGAGCCAGCTGAAGCCGACGCCGAAGCCGATCAGGAAGCATCCTCATCCATTGGATGTATTATTCTTCATCCATCTATCTGTATATTCATCCTATATCGTTAGTCCACATTCATCCTCTGACTTCATCCCTTTCTCATTGACTCCCTTTGTTTTGAAGATATACCTGTTTAATTAATATACATGTTTCAATGGTGGGTGGTTGTAACAATTTCATTTGCTAGTGTAAAAATATTTTGCTTGCTTAGTCTTGCAATCTACAAGCAAGTAATTTATGAGTAACATTTTTACGTACAGAAAGATGGGTTTCAGATTAAAAAAATCAAAAATCAAAAATCAAAACAAGAACTATTAGATCTTTGGCAATTGGACTTTTTATTTGTAGAAATTTGTTCTATCCATCTAGCAAGAGACAAACAAGAGACAGAAACAATTCTTGTTGCTGGTCAAAAATTTGGTTGTATTGTTCTTGTATCAACCAAAATAACAAACTTTGTTCACCACAAATTTTTTCTAAATTGGTACAACACTTTGTACAAATAATTTACGAAAAAAATTCTAACTATGTATAAATATATAAATATATAAATATATAAATATATATAAATATATAAATATATAAATATATAAATATATAATATATAAATATATAAATATATAAATATATAAATATATAAATATATAAATATATAAATATATATAAATATATAAATATATATAAATATATAAATATATATAAATATATAAATATATATAAATATATATTTCATAAATATGTCATAAATATATTTCATAAATTCATCTCTAATTCATATTTCCATGTGCAAGGTTTTTTTGATACCATTGGACGCTTTCCTCTGTAAGATGTCGAGAAGTGTGACATCACTTTAACATCCAAAGTAACGAATACTTTCCAATCACGTCCATAAAATGTATTCATCCACACGAACATCATTCATCCATCGATTCTGCGTGGTTTTCAACCCTAAGAGACGATAAGAAGAAATGCTGCACTGATGGTCACGTCGATGTATCGCCACAATCGCCTGCACTTTGTTTGAATTTCGTGAGGTTTGAGCGCGGATCGAGGTTTTGTGAAGAGTATGGAAGAGTTTCGGTAGAGAAAAGTGCTCACGTAAGTTTTAGCTTTAGGGTTTGGAGATATTGAAATTGCTGAGCGTCGGGTTTTATGAGTTTTTGCGAGAGCTCTGAATTGATTTCTGCAATGGGGTTTGTTGGATTGAATGTGGCAGCAGATAGCGTTAGGAAGGGGAAGGAACTATAATTGAGGGATGATCTTAGGAAGTTGTTTTAAGCATTTAACGGAGGAGGAGGAACTTGTGCGGGGTTCGCGCGTCTGCTGAGAATCGGAAGAAGAATTGTGCAGAGATGGCAGTGCGTTGGTCGTCGAGGACGAGGCAGAGCTTGAAGTTTATCGGCAAGTTGTCAAATGTGCGTTTATTTCTCGATTTCACTTGCATTTGTTTCGCTGGGGTTCATATCAGCATTATCGGTTTGAATTTAGGCTATGATAGGCAACTGTATTATATTCTAGTCGAGGGAGTATTGGTCAATTGTTGATAGGAACGAGTAGATTCATATGAGAAGTGGCTGCAATTGTGTGCTAATAGAGCTCTACCTTTGTATCGAAGAATTCTGTGGTAGAATCGGATCTTTTGATTTAGGATAGATCGAGCTGTAGATACTCGCGTATCTTGAAACGGTTGAGGTTTGTACAGGATCAAGTGAGCGCTGGTGTAACATAGCATTAGTTTGGTTTTGGGAACCTGAACCCGCTGCCGAAGAGCAATTCAGTTGTAGCCTATATTTAATATCTGTATTTATGTTGGATGTTTTCCCTGCTTAAGACCAATGTGCTGACGTTTGGATTTCAGGAGGCTCCATCCAAGCCATTGCGCTCATCGGGAGAATTAATACATAGTTTTGAATGTAAAGCAAACCCTTCAGACAGGTTTGGGCTAAGGTCTGCTGTGGTGGCAAGTTTGGTGTTCTGCACAACCTCGGGAGCCCTATACACAGAGCAATTGAATGGTAAGACAATGACGTCATTTGTTGCCCGACCTGTTAGATATTCGATGCCTTGGATGTAGCTGCGCAGGCGAAACCAATTGTGCAACTGAAAGTTGAGGCGATGTCATGATATAGGTGAATTGTGGGACCTTGATAATTAGGGAGGCCTGAGAGGGATGGTATTGGTGGAGGTGTTACAACACCATCGCATGAGGGAGAATCTGGACGGTTCAATGAACCAAGGAGAACTCTGGATTTGCCCCACTCTGGTGACAACGGTACAAGATCTTGACGTATACTCTTTTGCCGTGTTTTTTGACTTTGTGATTATGCATTCTAGTTATTTCGAACCGTTCCTTAGATGTGTCGTGTTATGGTTTTTATTTTTTACTTATTCCCCTCCTCTTCCTTCTCAGTACTTGGATTTGTTACTTGTGAAGGCTGTAACTTGAATAATCGGACTCCAATTGTTAGAGTGTCCAACGCGTCCCCGTTCCCAGGATCAGCGGCAAAGAGTCCTTCCACTAAAGGTGCTTCCTTACCGTCCAAACAAGGAGGCTGCTTAAGTCGATATGCTATTGCTGATGCTGCAGCAAAGGCTGCCCCAGCTGTTGTTAATGTCAAAGTCTCACTGGGTGAGTTCTTACTTGTATACTTTCCTGTCTCTTGAAATAGAAATTTTGATTTTTTTCGTGCCTGACGTCTGAACGAACTCTTCAACAGTACCCCAGTTTCTCGAGGTTTGTATGGAATAACGAATGAAGATCTTATGATGCAATTAGTGAGCTCTCAAAATTCATTGAATAGTGTTGCTTTCGAGTAATTTGAATATAATGTGAAGATATCTTGGAAGTGCAGGTAGAAGAAATGCTTTTTTTGGAGAAACGGCAGGCTCTGGGTTCATAATACAATCAGATGGTACTATTCTGACAAATGCGCATGTTGTTGCTACTGATCGGCGTGGTCTCCACAAAGGCTCGGTGAGCATGTATGACTTGAACCTGTTAATGTTAGATTTCAATGCCCTTGTTTCTGGGTCTGTCTGTGGACTTGCTATTATTGAAAGTTTGTGCGGATAATTTGTCCTAATTTTCTATTGCTCCAAGTCAATTTATTTTGAAATCATATTGTTTCCTCTGCAATTGTGGTATTTGCTTTCTTTTACTGATGCCCTTGTAGTTGATTGTCACGTTGCAAGATGGTCGGAATTTCGAGGGTGAGGTGGTCAGCTTTGACTCTTTATCAGATTTAGCTGTGATAAAAGTGAACTCATCTAGGCCACTACCAGTAGTGAAGCTTGGATCAAGCAAAGATCTCAGGCCGGGTGAGTGGGTGGTTGCTTTGGGTAGTCCTCTTCATCTACAAAATACAATAACAGCTGGTATTATCAGGTAGGAATGCCTTAATTCTTGTTCTTGTTCTGGTTGTTACTATAGATGCATTCATGTGAAGTGAGACGATTTTAGTAACATATTGTTTCTTTTTTCAGCCTTCACCTATGAAACGACATAAATTTGAGTGTGTTAGAGTTTTGTGACACAGTAATTTATGTAAATTAAATTCCTCATGTTCGTTTGTTTGAAGTCTGATAGCTATCTCTGGCAAGCTCTTAAGAACGGAATGTTGAGAGATGAAAGATGCTAATTTTTTTATTTATTTATTGTCATTAAATATGGTTCAACTATTATAACAGGGTTTCTCAACTTTGAGCTCGCAAAATTTTAGAATTCTGGATAGAATAATATGATTACCTGCTCTGACTGTGTGTTTGTTTGCGAAGACCTGATATGAGAATCTGTTTTTTCTGTTTTTAGTTGCGTAGACCGCAAAAGCTCAGAAATTGGACTTGAAGGAGTTGGGACTGGGTATATTCAAACCGATGCTGCTATCAATCAGGTATGTTGCTATGCGGTAGATTTTTTACCTCAAGTCTATTCTTTTACTTGGTATAGTCAATGGGCGAGTTAATGGCATACTCAGTGACTTTGATGCCTTGTTCAATGAGTGTTCGTTCTTGTAATTTGTTTCTTTTAAATATTGCCAGCATACTTTATAACTTGTGCAGACAAGTCAATATATTCAAATGATGTAGCCTGTAAACATTGTCGTAAATCCGGAGTGTCACTTTAACTCAACACGAGCTGTTGTTCTAGGGTAACTCGGGAGGACCATTGTTAAATCTTGATGGTGAAGTGATTGGCATCAATACGATGAAGGCTTTGGCAGCTGATGGTGTCAGTTTTGCTATACCAATTGATTCCGCGATTAAAATAGTAGACCAGCTCAAAAAGCGCAGGTTGTTTCTGATGCTCCGTGTAAAATTATCATAAGTAATTCTTTTTATGCCAAGACCGTATGGTTAACGTGATCTGCTTGCTTTTGAGAATTGTCATGGTCTTATCTGGAATTCCTTCATCCTTTATATAAAGCATTCGACCATTTTTTGTGGATCATGTTGTAAAGCTCGTGTAAACTCCATTTCATTGTTATCAAAATGGTCCATGAGTATAATACAACATGAATTAGGGAACATGATTCTCTCTACTAGTGCAGGCATGTGGTACGGCCCTGGCTTGGCATGAAAATGTGGGAGCTCACTGAACCTAGAATTTCGCAACTTAAGGAAAGAAGGCCTGGGTTTCCTGATGTTAACGCAGGCATACTTGTCTCTCAGGTAATTATTTTTATTTTTATTTTTTCTGCCTACTGGAAGACTTAAAAGCCTTCATTTCTACTTCTTTTAATTGGGTTTGTTGTTATAAGGAGAATTCTTGATATTGATGTGAGCTAGTTTCCCATTCGTGGAAGTGCAATGTGCACGCAATGAAGTATGTGGATTTTTGCAGGTAATCCCTGGATCTCCAGCATTTCGAGCCGGAGTACTTAATGATGATGTGATAATTGAGTTTAATGGGGTTCCTGTTACCACCATTGATCAGGTGTGTAAATCAATATTAGTGAACATGTAGAATAATTTTCTCTTTGTAATAACGCCCCTCTTTTTGTTGGGTTCTGCCTTGAATTGAAGGCTCACGTCCCTCAAAATTGTTGACAGATCGTTGAAGCTTTAGGAGATAAAGTTGGAACCTCATTCAAAATGGTGGTGAAGCGAAGAAACAATGAGCAAGTTGTACTGCACGTTACTGCGGAGGAAGCCAGTCCAGACCTTTGAGTGGACATCTTTAATTCTTGGGGACTCTGTTAGCGAAGTAAGAGGATTTCCCCTAGTTTTCTGTTGTAGTTTCTGGCTGACAAAACAGTAGATGTACCAGCGGACTGAAGGGATTAGTATGATTAGTCTCAGGACTTAAGACGGATAGACACAGACTGGAGAGGGTATTTGAAAATGGTTCAAGAGAATCCAGTGGAGCCCATCATCGAGGGGTGTAAGGTTTGGAGAAATGTTTTGTTTTCCTCGTTTTGAGTAGAGCATTACCGTAAGAGGTGTGTTGCGACTCACTCAACACATATAGCGTTGTAACTCACGAACGCACACTCTGATATCACTCAATTTTCTAATAACACGATGACCCTGGAGCCTCACATTAACGGAATTTTCCCTCGAATGTACGTTCAATTGCTGGACTAATCTACAGCTAGAAATAAGACCAACTGACGAAACCAGGTCCTGTTATGTCTTTAGTGCAGACTCGTGCACAAAGTATCCAACACAGGGGCCACGCTAAAAGGGAGTGAGAGATTACATTTTCTCAACGTATTGCTATATTGGACATATTTTTGGCACATAAAAAGTCATGAACTTCGCATTAAAACATCGTTTATAAAATGTTGCTTCAATTTGTGTAAAGGTCATGGGGCTAGCAATGCAGGAACTAATCCAATTCGAAGCTTTTACATAAGCTGAAGTGGCCGGTAGTCTTGCCCACCAAATTTGTCATATTGTTCTTCGCATTAATACATTATGCTTTACTTTAGTTTTGGACAAATAACACTCGTAGTGATGAAGTGTTAGCCTGTTTAGCATTTGTCAGTATGCATGGTATTGGACCCAGTTACTTTTGACTCTGATGGTCTGTGCTACTTCAGTGCTCTGGTCTGGACTGCATGGAAACGTTGGCCTGCTTTTATCGAGCCCACCACGTCCGAATCTCTCCACAACTGCATGTGCCTACCCGCGCATGGCGGCATGCTTCATGCTTTCCGTCCATGCAAATTCTTCCCACGCCTTCAAGTTGCATTTGCATCGTCGCAGCTCGATCTGCTTATCTGCTCTTGCTGAAACCCAGTCTAGTTTCGAATCAGCAAGTGTTAGCCGGCTGTTGAAAGAGTGTGGATTCGACCCATCGAGGTTCGAGATGGCCGACAGGGTCAAGGATTCGTATTACCGCGCGCATCAAAATTTGCCGCTGGAATGGCGTCAGGTGCTGGGTTTGGTGATCTTTTTGGTTGCGGCAGCGACGGTGACTACTGTTGCATTTGTCACGCTTGCTGGCTCCGCCTTCGCCTCCGTGATGGCATTACCAATTCTCCTCTTGTTCAGCCCAGTTCTCATCCCGCTTGGGATTGGAGCCTTGTTCGTCATCGCTGTTGCGCTGGGCTTAGGCGGATTCGCCTCCTCTCTCGTTTGGGTGTACAAGTATTTCAAGGGCGCTCATCCCGTTGGCTCCGACCAGGTACTCCTCCAATCCTCAAAATTGCCACTGGCAGGCCCCAAAATCAAAAGAATTTTCTCTTCCATGATATAATCAGCCAACATTATATATATATATATATATATATATATATATACATATACATATTGTTACTAACCGTGGTGTATTGTGGCTTTATTTCTGTGTGTTTGTTCGAGGCATTTACTGCATGATCAAATGTTGTGTGCTGCCCAGGTTGGTGCCGCACGTTTCAAGCTGAACGAAGGAGCGGGGTTAGTGAAGAAGAAGGCGACGGAGTATGGCCAAGAGGCAAAATCCCGTGTCCAGGCTGGTACTAGCCTTGCTTCCGATATTATTAAGCAGACTGACACCAATATTCCCAATCCAGCACCGTAGGTTGATAATCCACCCAGGTTTCTATTCATAAAGTAGAAGGATTACACTCCAAATGTCCAAGTTTCACGCACTAGCTAATCAATTTCGAGCAGTTTTTCTAGCTGCACAAAACGGTACTCGTAGGAGAGAGGGACTGGCCTTGGTCCGACATGCCGGGTGCACCACTCGGCGACTTGTTGCATGTCATCCTTTTAGGTTTCCATCAAAATCTGTTTCCAAATCTTAAAAGTAGACGTCTACATGGAAAACATTTCACAGTTGGGGAGTTTTTGGACTTGGATGTTATAGACCCAAATGGAATAAACTTTTATGCATGACAGCGGGAGTGAGCACTACGCGCCGCTGTGAAGTGCTGCACAAAGTAAAGACCTCTTTAAATACCGAAGTTGTTTCGAACACAAACCTGACGTTGAAGTTTTCGTAAGCTTAAGGCAACCACTTCTCCTGTTCTTTTTAAGTGCAATTGCAAATTGGGTGTGTTTGTTCTCCACCTCCTCAAAAGCTTCTGCAGATCTAGAGTCTGTGCAATACCATGGCTAGCTGTTGTATTCGATTTCTGTGCCTTGTTTCGTTTTTTTGTTCCATTCCATCGATGCATAAGTCTTAATACTGCATCATCAGCTTCTGTTCTGCAGGTTTTGTGGTGAAAGTGCGTGTGTGTTTTTATTTTTTATTTTCATGTTGCTTTGCTTGTATTTGAGGAGATGCTGCTGATGTTTTTGTTGCTTGTGAGAGGTTCACAGTTTTTGATATTATTTGGTAGAATTTTTGAGGTTTATTCCTGTTTTGAGGTAACGGAGATGATTTTTAAGGTTTGTTGGAACTGTTAATGTGTGGACTTGCATGGGATGGAATTTTTATTTTGGATTCTTTTGTATTCTTCAATAAAATGAATAAATAAAAATAATAATTTCTTTTTTAGTGTGTTCGGGATATTATATTGTGCAATAGATGATTAAATTTTCATGTTCAATTAAAATCCTTAAATAAATTAGTAATATTATGAATAAAACCAATTGTGGCTTAGAAGGAAAATTAAAGTTAAATTTTATTATCAATTAGCTTTGAGAAATAAAGAACATAAGACAGTTGAATAAAAATTACTTTGCAAAAAACTTTATTAATCAAAACCTTTAAAAAACCAAATAAAAAATCAAAAAAATGGATGGCATAGAAATAGTTTTAATTTTAAAGTAGTTCTATATATGTAACTTTTAGAAAACGTACCATTATTGAATTTAACTAGATTAGTAGATTATCAGAGTATTGTCCTTGTTTAACTCAAACTAATTTGTTAAATCAAAAATAGACTGCTGAACATTTACATCTCACAATCAACCAAAGAATCAAACAAATAAATGATTTTTCACATATTTTTAAAATTACACTATTCATGTCTACAAAGAGATGTATAACTAGAAGTCCTTAATGCATCCATGTATTTCCAACCTCTCACCTCATTTTTCAAAAAATGGGAATGATACAAAGTAACATATAATGCCAAGTCTTCATTAACCCATAAATTAATAGCCAATGATATGATAAGAATGAAATAACTATATATTTAGTATGTTGAGTCACAAGAGCATATGTATATATATAGAGAGAGAGAGAGATAGATAGATATACATTTTAGGCATAGTTTAATCAGGGTTTTCATTAGAAAGACAACCTATATTGTGAGAGTTGGTCAAAGTTCAACTTTGGTTTCAACACATTTAAAAGGATTTTTTTGGATGGAAACAACAAACATACTAGACCAAGCAACATTACAAATTTACAAAACCACAAATGGCAAAGAGGCATCATGTTCTTATGAGTCCAATGTCAACACAAGACATTCTAAGAAAATGCCTTCGGAATTAAAACAATATCATGTTTGACCGCAAAAGCAACTCGTACCATGTTTTGTGGAGATGATGAAAGGCACTAATTTAAAGAGATAGAGATCTTGTGTCCTGAAGCCAATTAAATCATTTGTTGAAGCTCCGGATCCTTGATCTGATCATATAAAACATAAAACAATAAAAACCTAAATAATATATCAAGTGTGGTGGACCAAAAATGAGCACAATTTTCAACAAGCTTCCTTTTTTTTGAAATTATTGAAATTTTTTGTGCTTCAAACGTGATTTCATGACCGTTAACATAGATTTGTGGGTCTTTTGGACATGAACCCAAATGTGAAATAATAGAAGTTGATTATTTTTGTCAATTAAATACAATGATATCAATTTCAAAAAAAAAAAAAAAAAAAAAACACACTTAGTAAAATTTTCTTTTCTTTTCTTTTCTTTTTTCTGTTTTATTTTATTTTTAAATTTTTATTAGCAATGAAAGAAGAATAACAAAGATCTGGATCCTTCATTAAAAGAAGTGTGTAAAATTATGATTCTTGCACTCTCAAAACTACTATACTTGTAATTTTAATTTTTTAATTTTTTAATTTTTTTCATCATAGACATGTGAATGTGGTCCATGAGTACATATTGGTGTTGAATATTTGATATGAGTTGTGGCAATTTTATTGATTTGTTGCTAGAGGCTTTCACTTCTTTTTATCTTCATATTGCTGCTCTTTTAATATTATTATTATTATTATTATTATCCTTTACTTTTAGTGAAAGTGTGGAATGGTTCCTTGCATTTTATTTTCTTCTAAGATTTTCTTTTATCTCTTTCTCTTAATATGCTTATAATTGAGTGGATCAGTTAGAAATTCATGTTAAAAAGGAAATACTCTCATGCCTGATTTATTATTTATGAAATGTTGTCCACCTATTTAAATAGCAAGACCTTTAACACCTGCTTCCTTTTAAAACAATTACAATAGCCCAATATTGATGGTCTAATGAGAGGGGAAAAAAATCCAAAAAATCCAAAAAATTCCAAAGATAATTACCATATGTGTGCCCTTACGAATAAGGATTGAATGATTAAGTAAGTAAAAGATGAAGAAAATATGTTAACATGGCAAATTAAGAGAAAAAGACATCTTAATATCTGCTTTTGTAGGTTTTGGTTTCAGATTATTTTTTAATTTTTCTCAGTTACATCAAGTAAATGTTGGATTTTATCATAGGCAACACCTCAAAAGTGAGCCATAATACTATTTAAAATTTATTTAATCCTTGTATATATATATATTTATATATATGATGTTTATACCTAAAAATAAAGAAAATTGATAAAATAAATAGGATATCAAACAATAAATTTAATGAATATAATTTACCAATAACAATGAATGTTATTGTTTTTGTATGTTGTTGGTTGATACATACATATATACTTACATACACACATATATTTGGAGTGTTGTTAATGTGAAATTATGCTAATACCAAATTGAAATTTGTTATGATATCACACTGAGCCAAATTGTTGCATTTTACTATAGACACTGTAAGAATTAATAAATAAAAATAGAAGATGAAACTATAATATAAAGGATTAAAAGAAGAATAGTGTCTTGCAATAAGACACTATTATAATAGTAATGTCTGTAATAATAATGGATAAATAATTTGAATAATGATACTTAAAACTTATGTCTAAGGTTTTTTTTTATCATTATTATTGTTATTTAGAATAGGTAAGAGTTTTTTTTCTATAAAAGTAATAGTTGGAAAGAATATTTATATTAATTATTGTAGTAATTCAATATAATCTTTAAAAAATTAGTATTTAAAATTTTGAATTAAAAATCAATAAATTAAGATTTTGTATGAAGTCATTTATATGTTCATTATTAAAATTATTATTATTTATTATTTAAATATATTATGTTAAAATTTGTACATTTAGGGTGATATAGAATGTAATTTTTAAGTGCATAATGTTAAATTTTGCTTCAAATTGCATACAAATAGAAATGGTTCTATTGAGTTTTATATGCATAATTCTTACTTTAGAACTTGGTTTCATTAAATTATTTTTATAAGATTGACTATGAACTAACTTAAAATCTATATTAGATTCTTAATCCATGTAAAATTTGATTGATCAATAACATGATACATTTTATAGAATTTTTAATAATAAACATATTCAAACAAAAGGTAGCTTATTTTGTTGTTGTAAACTATTTGCTAAAAAGTTCATACCATAGATAAGTACTAGTCTCAACCAATTTACTATTTGGATGCTAATTTTTACAAAAAAAATTTCAAAAATATATTAATATAAATTTTTGGACTATTTGTTTTTAAAATTAGTGCATTCTATAAATAATAAATGAATTTTTTATTTAAAAAATATGAGTATTCAAATTATTTATAATATAAAATAATAATCATATGTTTATAATTTTTTATTTCATTTAAAAACAATTATGATATTTTTTCTATCACTTTGGCATATTTAATTTTGTCTTCTATAGCAATTATAACATGCATCTATTTTATGCAATAAAAAGTTTGAATACACCAAAATTATGCCAATATTACATCAAAGACATGAATCACAAAAAAATCTTATAGAGACAACACATTCTTGTGTCAATGAAATAAATAAATAAATAAATAAAAGGTAGATATGATATAGAAAGAAATTAGAATGACTATTGCAATTACAAAGAATCTAGAGAAACTTGAACGAAGACTAGAACACAAGACAAGATTAAAAAAGACCTTAGTATTGTCTCTATGAATATTAGTTATCAAGAAGGTCTAGCATAAGCTTCATACAAAATACAAAGCTTGTGGCCTTAGCATCAAGTTGTAGGTTGCTTCCTACTCAACTTTTTAAAAGTTAGAAACTTGCAAGACAAGTTTTAATAGTCATGTGGCATATCTATAAAAGTCTAAATATCTAATTAACATCTAAGAAACTTTCTCAAAGCTTCTTAAAGAAGATAAAATTTTCATAATATATTTTTATCTAATTCTACTTCTTGTTTATTTATCTCTAATAACTCAATTAATATGAACATGTTTTATACTTTATGGCCTCTTAATAGATTTAAAAAATTTAAATTTGTAATGATATAAAACTATTATCAATATATTAGTCATAAAAATTGATAAATACTAAGATATAATAAAATAAGTATTTAATTATATTATATATTACAAATTTAAAATAAAAATTAATATTTTATTTTAAAATTTTATAATATTTATTAAAACTTCTTTAGTTTCCTTTTAAACCCACAAATTATATTTAAGATCATTAAAAAGATAAAGATGTAAAGAAATAAATATAAAATATAATTTACACTTTAGAAAATTAAAGCATATTTTAAATATTTAAATATTATTCAAGGATAAGAATTTAATTTTTATTCAATAAAAAATAAAATATCTATTTTAATATATAAATTATTATTCAAATTTTTTAGCTGATAATTATTTATATAAAACTTTGAAACTAATTTTTAGACTT